CCCCCGCAGACAGAGGCTGCTTCATGGCAGCAGCCCTTGTCTGTGGGGGAACTGAGACATAAAGCAGCCTCTTCGTGGGGAGCACAAACCCCCGGAGATGGGCTGTTGCCACCCCACGCTGCTGCCTCTGTATCAGAAGCAGTAGCAAGGGATGGCAGGCAGCTGGTGTGCATGGGGAGCTGGTTTTTAAACTGGCTCCACACACAGGCTGGCTCGCACCTGGCATGAGAGGCAACAGCATGAGGTAGCAGTGGGCTCCTAGAGAGTGGAGCCAGGAGTGCACAAGCTGCTGGCTTGGCCCCCGGGACTACAGAATAGTCAACTAACTAAGAATTCATGCATTTAGTCGACTATTCTGTTACTTGCTATCTAACGTTCCTTGTACAGGGACTCCCCAAGCTACAAAAGTGACTAATGAACATGCACGCATAAGAACAGAAGCTTCTCTGCATCCTCATGGGAGCAGGCAAGAAGCATAGGTGTAGCAAGCAATGCAAATAGAGGCCTGAGGACTCTGGGGGAGGAGCAGGGAGTGGGGAAAACACCACCTTTCCAGACACCACTTGCGCAACTGAAATCTTCTCTAGGGTACGTTTGTATAGCTGGGCTTAAATCAAAATAAGCTATGCAAATTGAGTTATGTCAATTTCATAGCTTATTTCGAAATAGGGAACATCTACACAGCACTTATTTCGAAATAGACCACTCTTCCTCCAACTATCCTTACTCTTCGTACAATGAGGGTTACAGAAGTTGGAGTAAGAAGTCCTCCAACTTAACAGTACTTTGACGTTGTTTTGAAATGTCAACTGCCTGTATAGATGCAGACTTTCAAAATAACATTGCTATGTAGACATGCTCCTGGAGTCCATTCTGTGCTCACGCTGCTTGCCACTTTCTGGTGAGGGGGAAGCTGGGTGCAGCCCATTGTAGGAGGGGAGTAGCAAAAGGATGGGGTTGAGGCTAGAGCTGATCCCTAAAAGAGGGTAACCAGGGAGCAAAGCCTACTTGTGGAGTGGTGGCAGCTGGAGGATGCCCAGAAGTTCCTTTCAGAATCTCCACCTTCCTCCTCCTCCTCCTCCTTTAATTAAACCTGTCTTTCCTCAAGCACAAGCATTCAAGGTTAAATTTAAAAAAACTGTTCCATTTGTATTGCAGGTGTACAATTTTTTTCAGCTAATATATGAGCTAAATAGATTTTTATGGGCTAGCATGGGAACCTACATTATAGCATTGTTTCTATGGGAAAATACATTCCACGTTCTAAACCAACTTAAACTTTCGGAACACAACCCATTTGTAAGTTAGCCTTTCTCCCCAACCCTCCTACTGTAAGCTCTGTTGCAGCGGCAACCCACCCATCTGAGAAACCAGAGGCTCAGGCAGTCAGGCTTTGAGGCAATGAAGAGACAATTACTGTAGTGTCTCAAAGTAGTGTAGAGACCTTTTGGTATCGGGTGTGACAGGACTTCCATGTCGGAGCGTTCTTCGCCTTCCCAACCATTGGTACTGACAACATACCACAAAGGCTCCTTGGCAGTATTATGGGCATCTTAAAATGCCTTAAATATTGCATTGTCTTCTATTGCAAGACAAATGCATTGACAGAATTAAGTGTTATGGATTCTAATCAAGAGAGTGTTCCTATGTATAGAACAGTATCCCTGGGCATTTCTTCACTTGAGAACTGCATTTGTTCATTTACGATCTCTTTTCAGAGCATCCAGAAAAAATAGCTGCTTCACTTCTAGTCGATGCTTCTTCAGAGAAACAGAATGTAACTTCCACTCACAAATCTCAGTAAAAGAAATGAGCACAAGGTGCAAACCTTGCATTTAGGGGAAGCTATCTAGGAATATATTCAGTTCAAGAGATGTGACGCAATCACCAGAATAGTAGAATTAGTCTTATGCTATATAGCTCCATACTGTTTGTCATGAGACTCAGTTGTCATGCCTGACAACTTCAAGGTTCTGTTGCCGTGAACAAGTCTCTGCTTCCTGTATTAAACTAGTTGAGTCCCTAAAGGCAGATGAAACTATAGTGCAGGTAATCCATGAATCAAAGGGACTAGGACTTGAATGAGATATTAAGGATAATATCCATTTTAGAGGATCTTAGAATATACTTATTTTGCATTACCCCATAACAGTTAAAGCAAATGAATGTTTACCTTAAATGAGAACACAGGCTTCTGGCAGATATGGGGAAAGCACTACTATCCAAGTCTCCACTAGTTTAAGTTTAAGATGAAGAGAAATGAAAAGTCAAGATCTTTATTTAATGCAGATAACTGACATGCTTCTAAAACTTGGAGAGGAAGGTTGGCAATCATCAATTGCGTACTTGTAGATATAGCATAAATTCATAGAATACAGAGTGAATTACCAAACTCTCTAGATCACAGGTCCAGATTCTATAGGCAGATGGGAAACTGAGTTACTATCATTTATGCTTAACAGCTCTGAATACAGTAATTAGATGGTACAGGAATGCGCTTTTCCCAGACATCAGTATAGGATTAGGTCCCTAAAATGGGACATGGTGTAATAATTATTAGAGTGTCTGTTTTAGAATGTCTTGTTTTGTTTTTTTTCAAATATGCGCTAATCCTCTACTTTAACTGGAGGTAGTAGAATCTAGTTCTCCTAACTTCTGCAGAAGGAGTCTGAGTTGTCTATCCTCAATAGAGGAATTAGTATATGGCACAAGGAAAGCTATGTACTCAGGTACACACACATTCTAGCACAGTTCAAGAAGCTATATCTTGGTCCAGTTAATCACATCTCCAAAAGTGTAGGTAATCTGGATGTTAGTATGGGTATCTGAACTTCAATTTATCCAATTCACTCAGTATAATGGAAAGAAAATATCTAATGAAAGTGACAAGATGAACTACAAGTTGCATGGGTACGATACATTCGAGCAATAAGGAGCAATCCTTCACTAGAATTCAAAACATGCTTCATAAGAATGCTGACCTTGACTAATGGAAATAAGTGAAACTCTTCCAGGTTGAGCCTTTCTGGTCCAGCAGCATCCAAGGTCAGCAAGATTTTAGTTAACTGGATGTCCACTTATCATGGATATGGCCAAGTCATGAAGTTGGTTTTCAGCCACCTGTCCTGGCTCTCAATGTTCTGTGCTGTTTAGCTCTAATTTACCCCTTAATGTCTTAAGAGCCCAGTAAACAATGGAAATGTTAAGGGTGGCAGACAATATTGATGTCCTATGGTTTGGCAGATTCAACCTATCCATGTTTCAGTCCATATGTCTACCAAATGTTAAGTTTGACTTATCTGACTTGTTTGGTAAAAGTCCTAAAATGGGTTTGGTAGAAAAAATACTTAATGCTTTCTCTCCCTGTTGTTGAATCCTGCTAGTTATATCCCACGTTTACATAACTGACATGGCCAAATTTATCTCATAATTGCTATTTTTACTTTTTTCATTGAACCAGTGTTGGCCAATTCTTGGCCACCCTTGATTCAGGACCACAGTTTTGAAACCATACTTATTGAGTGGAAAGTACACGGAGTCTGTTGCCAGAGGACTAGTATTGAGGTTAACAAATTTGTATAGTTTCATTAGATATTTAAGTTTGAAATACAGTTTATGGGAATTTCTACTGTTTCCTGATATTCAGTTTCAATTGCCTCATCATTCCTTCAGGGATGGGACCCACTTGCATCTAGAATTCAGATATACTGTTTTACAGAATAAATATGTAGCTAAAACAAAGGGCTAAAACCCTGGGTTTTGTATGTCCTGATGGAAATACTGTATATTTTGGGGGGTAAGTTTATATGCACTCTGAGTTGTACAGAATGTGCTGGTTTAAAGTTCATAACTATCGAACTGCACTTGTAAGAAATTGGTGGATGGAGAAATAACAGCTAAACAATGTCTTACTGAATCCTTAGACACACGTTCTTTATTCTAGTAGTGATCTATGGTATTATGACTATTGCAAACCTAATGCATTCTGAAACCTCTGTGTGAACAGGAAATAGAGATCAGAGAACAGGAACTTTCTATGGAAAGATAGTAATATTGCGATTCCTGCTAACTACTGTTCTTCTGCTCCTACCTGAAACATCTTCACACTACAATAAGCATTTAAAACACAGGGCAGTATTTGTTAGACCTCAAATACCAGTGACAGAACTTGTAGCATATGTTGACCTTTTGTTTAAAATTTATTTCTTTTCTTAGCACTTGATTTGTTGGATAAAATGTTGACCTTTAATCCTCACAAGAGAATTGAAGTAGAACAAGCTTTGGCCCATCCATACCTGGAGCAGTACTATGATCCAACTGATGAGGTAAATGATTTAACACGTACTGTAGATTGTACAAGAAATCAGAGAAGCCTTTTAAGGATACAGTTAGTATAGCTCAATCTTGAACAATTGCCAGCAGTTATATAAATAAGTCCTATATTAAAATTTTTTAGTAATTGTGTATATGCAGTTTGCTTCAATGTGGGTTCAGGGACATAATAGGTCCATTGCATGTCATAAGTAACTAAAAGGGGGCTGCCAAAAGAGGGATGGGCTCCACCATGTTAGAAAGTTGCCCAGGAAATAACAGGTAATCAAGTCAACCGTGTCCATACCGTGCTGGTCAAGCCCAGGTTAATAATGATCATGCTACCCGTTTCCCACCAAGGTGGATGCAACAAGTATACTATTGGTGTAACCCCAGCAAAGAGGATGCATGGAAAGGCTAACCTCACCATAGCCTCATGGAGTGTAAGGACATTAAGACAAATAGGCAGGTTGAAGAACTCAGGTATGAAATAGAATAATACACCTGCACCTCCTAGGAATTTCTGAGGTCAGAACTTTGGAGAGGTATTAATGGAAGAAGGCTATGTATTCTTTCAGTGAAGAGCACAAACATGTCAACAGCATAGGCTTTCTTGTGCATAAAGATATCAAGAATTCAATATTAGGATGCCACCCAATATCCTTCAGGCTTATTTCCATCCATCTAAAGGCAATATCATTCAATATCACAGTGGTACAATCTTTGAATCTACAACAGACTATCATGGTGAGCGAATAGATTTTTACAATCAGCTTCAAGACCTCAAGGTACACAGATATCCTGATATCCAGTTTCCCTGTACATGCTAACGTGGGTACTGCAGCACAGCAGATTGACGAGATTATTGTGGCCCTTTCTTTAATATGGTGACCAACAAAAGAGGACTGAGACTTTTGGAGTTTGCCAACTATAATCTAGATCTTGCAAACACAATAGGTGCACACAAAGCACCTGGACAACCAACGTGGCATGCATCTGATACACTAACCACAGCCAAATTGACTAAGTCATATTGCCAAACTAGCTTTTGTTTTGGGATCAACCGAGCTAACGCTATGAGCATCCCCAGTGCTGATATTAGAAGTGATCACTACCTTCTCATGTTAAGGTTTGCCAGAATCAACTTTAACATAGACACGGAGACCAAAGCATTGCAGTAATTCTACTGATCATTGTGTGGAGGAATTTGCCCTGCTGCTTACTTTAGAGCAGGGTGGGCAAACTTTTTGGCCTGAAGGCCACACATCCGTATGGAAATTGTATGGTGGTCTGTGGTAATGAAATTGGGGGGTATGGGTCTGGTATGAGGTGTGGGAGGGAGGGCTCTGGCTGGAGAAAAGAAGTTTGGAGATTAGGAGGGTGCTTCGTGCAGGGATTAGGAGATTTGGAGGGCTGAAAGTAAATCATAGCTGGGGAGATGCAGGTTCTGTGCAGTGCTTACCTTAAGCAGCTCCCAGAAACGAGAGCTGAAGGGGGGCAGATCCTACTACAGAGTCATGGCCAGGCAGCTCTGGGTACACTGCCCTGTCCTTAGTTTACACCTACCTACCTCCTAATGGCTTGATTTAACAGTTAATGGGAGCTGCTGGGTAGGCAGTGGGGGCAGGGCAGTGTGTGGAGCCCTCTGGCTGCCCCTACATATAGGAATCAGTGGGGGACATACCCCTGCTTCCAGGAGCCACACAGAGCCATGGCACATGCAGAGCAGGGCATGTCCTTGAGCCTTCTCCCCAGCTGGAGGGCCAAAGCAGGGTAAGCCCCAGACCCTGCTCTCCAGAGGGAGCTTAAGATCTAGAATAAAAGGTCTGATGGGATGGATATAGCCTGCTAACCAGTAATTTCAACATTGTAATGTAAGAGGCAACAATGGATAGCTTGGGAAATACTGTAACGGGTCTGCAGCCTATGTTTGTAGAGCCAAAACACAACTCTTTAAACTTAAAATGAGAAACTGAGTGTCTTAATTTTGAATTACTCATGTCAGATTGGTTTTTTGTTTTTTTTGTTTTCCATTTCACTTTAACCATCCATCCTCTTCACTCATTGGGGATTGTGCATATTTTCTTATTTGATTGGTCAAATCTTTCCATTGATGGTGAACTCTGTATCCCCCCTCCCCCAGTAAAAAGGCAAAGGGGAAAGATAAGTATCAATTTTCAAAAGCAGTGGACAGACTTATATGCATTTGTGGATATGTTTGGATCTCCAATCTCATTTGCAATGACTGTTCTCAAACTGTATTTCATGACCACTTGCTATAGAATACCTCAAGGTGAGGCACAAAAAAGCCTGCAAGCAGCTGCAGTGAAAAATTAATATTGGACAAAATAGCCTGCTGGCATGATCCAAAAAAGTGAGATCTTAAACTCTGCTGTTTTGCAGGCTCATACAGCATTATTTGAGGGGAAACCTTCCACTGAGGGGGATTATATGTAGAGACATGCTAAAAATTGGTCATGAACTATTTGACAAGTTTCACAACAACAAAATCTTACAGAAAATTTAAGACATGCCATTATCAGCAAAAACAGTCCATGACATATATGAAAATGGTCCATCAAAATGGCCAGGAACAAATGCAAAATTTGAGTACAGCTACTTATTTAGTTGCTTTGGACAAGACAATCTGTGTCATTAATCAGTTGTGTATTCTGGAATGAAATATTTGTGGAAATGCTATGAACAAAGAAATGATTAAGATTACCCCTTGTTTGGTTTTTTATTGGTAAACATGTCATCCTTAAAACTGAACTTTGTAAATGACAAATACAGCTGGATAATCTTGTCTGTCTCTGGATGGTACACCTAGCACAATCAGTAAATATAGGGGTTTCCTTACTCTGATTAGAACAGCTGAATTGCTTACTTTTTAACTTTTCATTGCATTGCGCATCAGGAGGCAGTTTGTGCTCATTCTTGTGGAACTGAACTTGGAAATGCAATGGGGCTGGTCATTCACGTTGTCAATTGGATTCTTGCCGAAGCCCTTAATCACTGTCATTTCAGTCACTGCTCGAGGAATTAGATTCTGAATATCTCAATTTACTAATGCACAATGTTTGCTGATTCTCTTGTAGCAAAGTTTATCTTGTTTTGCTGCCTGCATTAATGAGATTGAAAGCTTGGTGTTTGCCACCATTCATTAGACTATGACTTGTTCAAGTTTTATTATCTCATCAACATTACCAGTCATTTGAATGTGACGCTTAGCTACAAGAGCAAGGAAATAGTCCCAACTCTGCAGCAGGCTGCACTTGGATTTGAGTAAAAATTGACTCTATCAAATATCAAGATGGGCAGACTGGCACATTTTGAAAGATTATGAATATTTTGTGATTCATAGAGAATCCAACTAACAGTCTTGTTTTGCAGCAGCTTACCCAAATTTGAGCTGCTGATTGCAAAAGTTGTCAAAACAAGACTTGAATGCCAATGTGCTTTAAGTTTATATGTCCACATATCATCTGAACTAGATTTGACAGTTATTCCAAACATCTCAATCAAATTTGGAAATGGAAACAGTGGATGTCAAGGAGTCCGATTTCTGAGTGGAAAAATTTGTCAAGCTGAATTCTGATTTAGAACACCTTGCTCTACAACAGAGTTGGGCAAAAGGGCCTCAGTGGGCCAGATCCAGCATGCTAAATGGGTGAATCTGGCTCATGGAGGCCCTGCTGCTCCCCTACCCCGAGGCCAGTTAAGGTGTGGGGACGGGGGGAATGCGCGAAGTTTCCTCTGCCATGCCAGGAGCGCATAGTGCTTGGAAGTGCCAGCGCTCCTGACAGCCTGGAAGAGGCTTTACGTGCTCCCTGCCCCCAGGCCAATCAGAACCTGGGGTAAGGGGAGTGGGTGAAGCCACCTTCCATCCTGCCAGGAGCATGTGGTGCTTACGCACCACGGAGGAAACTTTGCATGCTCCTCCGTCTCCAGGCCCTGATTGGCTTGGGAGGAGGGGAATGTGGGAAGGTTTCTCTCAGCCAAGGGCATGGGCAGGGAGGCAAAGGCATCCCTCATAGCCAGACCAATCATGGTCTTGGAGTGGAGAACCCGGAAGTATCCTGGCCCCCACGCCGTCTGGTGCAGCCCAAGGCCACAAATTTTTGAAGTGGTCCCCGGTGCACAAATATTGCCTACTCCTGCTCTACAATTTGCAGAATTGGCAAAACTGCAGAAATGGGCTGACATGGAGAAATTAGAGCATGATAATCTGATTCTGCACAATTGGAAAACTTCTTTCACAGCACCATGCAGAATGTCAGCTTGGCCTTACTTAGAGTTTGGCTCCACCTATGTGTGAACAGGCTTCCTCCTCTCACTAAACATCTCTAATTTGTCCTCAAGTAGCTGCTCAGCTATAAACTTTCGCTTCAGATATTTCAGTATGGTTAAAAATCTGTTCACTAAGAAATTATTTAAATCTTGATAGACTCTGACAAAAATTAAGGGACTGTCCTACCAAGTTGCAGGCTGTTTCCTGCCTTAACATTAACTTGACAATTTTGTTTGTTTTTAAATGCTGTCTGTTTTTTTTAAGCCTGTAGCTGAAGCACCCTTCAAGTTTGACATGGAATTGGATGATTTGCCAAAGGAAAAACTGAAAGAACTAATTTTTGAGGAAACTGCTAGATTCCAGCCAGGATATCGACCTTAAATTACACATAGGTACATAAAGGCACAAATATAAACCATGTAAAAGATACAGGAATGATAGAACTCTATTATTGCTATCATTAATTCAAAACTCATTGCTTGTCACTTCATTACTATTGTAAAGCAACCCTTTAAGATGTAATCCTTGCTTTTAGAGTACTGAATTTACCTCATCCATACAGTTTTAAAGACATGGATTTAATTTTCTCTGCAATTTTAAAAGGCCTACTGGGAATCCAAGCAATTTCTGACATGCTTTTTTTTTACTTGCAGATTCCATTAGTGACAGGAGAAATTGAAATGGTACTTATCTGAACAAAAGCTACAGCAACACTAATTTCAATTCTTGTTCAAAAGATCTCTTAACATTGATACTATCATTTAAATATTACAAAACTTTGTTTTTAGTTTTTAAAAAAACATTTAATCTTTCCCTTTTTGTAATATTAAGTGGAGAAAATCTGACTTAAATATATCAAGAACTTTTTATTGGTAGTCACCACAGTTTGAATTATATATTCAAATATTTTGGAGGTATTTTCAAAGGCATCTAAATTATATTTTTATGATGATAGTACATATCCATTAAGATTAACTTAACAGTACTTTTGTGCTGATTGGAGAGAGAGTGTGAACAACATTGACAGGTTTTAATAAGACACAAACCCCCATAAAGCACCAAAACTGAAATTTGCACGAACAATCTACTTCATATGTAACTTGCTTATGAAGTCTTGCCCGCTTATCTACATCTTTCCAACCTTGGATTTCACTTATAATGATCCACTCTTTCTAAATAGTTTACATTATATATTTTAAACCTTTCTTTACATCCTCTGAAATTTGCAGTTCTCAACTTTCTCAAAGTAAATCTGAATTTTGGAGGATCTTTGACTACAACTTTTCTGTAATACTAGTAATTTAAATACTTTTAAATAAGCTATTGAATTAAACTTCAGATGGCTTCATGGAAGTGGAAATGATACAGATACTTACTGCTGCAGAGGGATTCCCTACTGGTCAGGATTCAGTCAGTGTAGCAGGGAAGACTGGATCACTGGCTGCTCTGCCACAATCAGTGCTTTATTTGCACTGAAAATAGGATTTCCGTTCCCAATGTGGCTGATCAGTACACTTTTTTTAACGCCAGCTTAGTATTTTTTAATTTAGTAAAGACTTCTGGGAATGTAGAATGTCCTACTCAAACCAAGCTAACTTCTATAAGTCACTAGCTTGGATGGGCAACTATTTGTGTATAGTCACAGAACAATTTATTTTGAAACTTTGTTCTTTTACCAGCTTCTGGGTTTGGCTTATTCTAACATAGCTAGCATTATTCTTAATGGTTAAAATGGCTTTATTTAAGCCTAGGTTTGTCTTCAAATTAGTGAATTCTTAGTGTTGCAGCTCTCACAATAAATCAGGCAGCAGTATGTTTCCTGTGGGTAATAAATGAGTTAGTATTAATTATGAAAATGTTCTTAGACTGTCTGTCTGAATACCATAAAGCTTCGAAAGAATATGGGTAAAGGAGTATTTGAAAATATTATATATTTGTATTGCTGCCTTTGACTTTTGTGACTATCTGCCGCTTTTCAGTCTGAATTCATATATGTGAGATATAGAAACACTGATAATTATTTCTTGTGTTTAATTTACAATTTCTGTTCAGATCTTTCATTAAAACGTGTTTTTTGTTTTTATAGGCCAGACTTAAAGGACTGGACAGGCTCAAACGTTGCTGTTCCTCTTCCCAGTTCTTGTATCTTTGGTCATGTCTTATGGCCTATCTCAGCTTATCCACTAACTCCTTTGAACCATTCAGGAGGGCAGTTACTGGTAGTTTTGGCTTTTTATGCTTTCAATTAATTCTTTAAGTCTGAAGAATTGTTATTGGCGCTCCTATCCGTAATGCTCATTGTCGACCTATTGCAGTACTGTACTATATAAGTGCACCCACTGCTGACCATACTTTAACTATTTGCTTTCTGGTTTGAAAGATGCAGTAGTTCCTTTCACTCCTGTATCATTAACCAAGCAGATAACTCATTAATGCATAGAAGTTTGCACCATGAACTGTGTTTTTCTTATTTTACTGAAGTCACTGGCAATTTTTAGGGAAAGCTACTATTCAGGGCACTTTAAGTCAGTGACATCCCAATTTTTTTGCACTTTGCCTTTATACGGTAACGGTTTACTCATAATGGGGAATTTATTCATATATATATGCCATTATGCTACAGATTATGACATAGGCCACATTTGCATTAATTTTGTTTATTCATTTGTTTGAGTTTCTTCTTCTGTACATAAAATTCTACACAGCATATCTAGGAACACAGCTTAGTCTACAGAATTCATCTATCCATCTAGAACTTTTCTTTGTGGTAAAAAGGCCTAGCTTTTCCCTGCCTTTTCTAAAAAGATGATGGCTATTTGTACTTTTATGGGGGTACAGTACTTCCAAAGTTCATGCTCTGTTGTTTTTATGAGATTTATGCAAAAATAACGAAAGTGGCAGCTCAACCTATTTATTCACTGTGGTGAAAGATTAAAGAATACAATGGCATATTTACCTATTATGAATGTTTTCCTTAGAAGGCATCCATATGCATTAGTAAGCAGAGAAACCAAAATGTGCTGTTATTAAACTCAGTCTACTTTTACTATATATACCAATGAAACACTTCAAATGAAGGTGATTAGTTTATATAATATTTGAAATAACATTCAGCACTCTTGCTGAGAGAAACACTGCATCTTTAAATGAGAGAGTTTGAATTTACTTTTGCTACTACTGCATGTCAGCATCTCAAGTTAATTTCTTGCAGCCTACATTATAATTTGTAATCAAGCCTCTGTGATCTTGTGATGTGAGGTACTGTTCTCTTGTCAAGTACTATCACATTTTTCTGGTAATGCTGAGTTAGGACAGTCAAACAGAGCTAGCACTAAATCATTAAACTGTATACCTTTTAATGGTATTTTGAAGTATTTGTTACTGGAAATTGTATAATGTGGAGTTTCCTAGATGTTTCGTTCCAGTGCAGTGCCTCCTTATCTTTCCCCACTGCTCTCTGTGGTGAGAAACTTGCCTTGTTTAAAATGACTGTGCCCTCGCATGACTGTTAAAGCTTTCTGTGCAAAGATGATTGTCTAAGTGCCACATGCCTATTTGGGAGGGAGGAGGAGAATCTCTTGTTACCTCTGGGTTGTGTTCAACTGAAATGCTATTCAACAAAACTTGGAAAAACTAATTCTATTTTTAGCTTTTTGTTTTTCTGCTGTCTTTTTTTCTCACTTTATTTTGGCAGCAGAGAAGAATGGATTGTATAAAGACTGCCTGCTACTATGAACAAAATGCACTTGTAATTCTTGGAAATAAATTTAAATTTTATCTTGACATTAATATTAAGAATTAGTTTTTGGCTTCATTTTGGATAATGTGTTTGAATTGAAATAAGGTTCCATTTATTACTGACATACCAGCAAGCATCCTTATATATTATCCCAGGCTTCCTCATAGCACTACTTTATCTGCTGGTCAAGATAATTTAGAAAGCCAGTAACTTAGATTTTCAGTTTATAAGGCTGCTTACAGATAAAAAATTCTGAATTTACATTTGTTGGAGGTGGTGGTCTAATAAAACAAATTTTGAATAAACAAGGATTAATTTTCAAAGGGCATTTCCTGTGAGAAACCTATGCACCATGAATATTTTTGTTGTCTAAAATACATATTAGGAGCATTATCAGAACATTGCAGAGTTGATCTTTGAATTGCTGGTATGGAGCTTATGCTGACTACTTTTCTACAATACTGCACTTGACTGTTGACAGTAGTGTAACTCTCTTGATGTTTCTATGCATTATCTTTACCAAAATACTTTTGTCATTAAACTGCTAAATACTTAACTATATCTAAATTGTTGGACACTTGCATGATCATGGTCATGGCAGGAGCTGATTTGGAAAAATATAGACTGTTATTGAAACATCTGCTTTCAAAAACACCTCAACTTTAATTTATTAAGGAAGAGCTTTGGCAGTTTATTTCATACATCTTTTTCCCATTCATCTTTTGAATGTTTTTTTAATACAGAATTTGCTTGGATTTATGAATTTACTGTCAAGTGGCATTGCTAAGAGAAACAGTGGCTTTGATTTACTAACATCTGGTTCTTTGGCACTTTCTTTGTTAGCCATTATTGCTGAATGAGATTGATGAATGCAGTTAGTGGTTTCATGCCAAAGTGTCATTGGACAATGTTAGTTGAACTTATTCTCTCTACTGTGGTGGAAGCATGATTGCTATCCTTAGTGACTAAGGGGGGAAAACCTGTTGCTATCCACCGCAATGTGCTACACTACATTTATACCATGTACAAATAATCTGACCAGCTATTCCATAAATATAAACTTATTAATATATTTGCTTATGCTAGTGTAACTTATGTTGCCCCCTGATTGTTAAACTTTTTGATTATTTGGTAGCCAGTGAAATGATATAAGTGTGTCCCTGCACACACATGATTTGGGTCCCTTGCATAGTGCTTTTATATTTATACAGCAATGTTTTAAAGCAATCCCAAATTTTGGGGGGAATATTTTTGTAAATGCAGAAGCTTAAAGGCACTGAACAATCCTTTTGCATAAGTTTTGAACACATTGGCCTTTCAAATAGCTTATTTTAGTGTCTTGATTGAAATACAATTGCGTGTACATTAGTAAAATGAAGCTTACAATGATTCTTGTAGCATGTGCTGCAATCAAAACTGTGGTGCATTGGAAGAGATTTAAAACTTGGAATACCTTTGTATATCCAGAGCAAACTTTTAAAGGTTCCAAGAGATTTACTTTGTTGCCTTTTCTTGTGTTGTATCAGTGTAGAACACTCTTTGCAAAAAATACTCAATGCTTTATATTTGCTTTTAACTGTTAGTGCCTTCTTAGTCATGTACCCCAAAAATCCTGCATAGCTAACTTGGTAACATTGGTAAGTTTAAAAGGCAAAACAAAGGAAAATTTTATAAAAATAATTTTCTGTATGTTCATTATATTGTAACGATTAAACATTTATATTGTGACAGATTTGTGATTTGGTTAATCTGTATAAACAGTTGTAAGTAGCAAAGGTTTATATTCTTTTCTTTTGATGTTGTAAACTTAATTTTTTCAAATAGTTTAACTGAATTTTTGTTTGGCATCTGACACTTGTAAAATCAAATGCAAAGAATCATTAAATTGCTTCCCTGTATTACTAATAGAGCATAGTATTGTGCATATCTAGAATGACTGGAATTTCACTCTTAATGCTAATTGCTGCCTTTTACAAACCTTCGATACATGTTAGCTTATTACAATTTTATTCTAAAATTACTGTTAAACCTTTTAATTGTTTACTATAATCAAACCCTTTAATGGATTACTATAATCAAATGAATACACTAATCAAATGTTCTTTCAAATTATATTGATAGCTGATGTATGGTGCTCTCCCTCATGCACACACTAGTACACTATAAGAATTAAAAAGCATGTGGGGCTTTGAGGTAAATATTGGATACATGGTAATTGCAAATAAATTCCATGTATGAAGATTCTGGAGTTCTTGATTTACACTTGCATAAGAAAATTGAGTAGGGTTGCCAGGTGTCCAGTTTTCACCTGGGTAGTTAATATTTTGGCTTTCTGTCTAATAAATAGAATACCGGATATGTAAAATACCTGGTATTTTCTGTCCTCCTTTGGACGGAAGGCCGGCATTGTCTGCAAGGGTGGGGGGAGCGAGGAGCATAGTAACTTAAAGGTGCAGCGACCTCTTTAAACAATTTTGTTAACCTCTTTTGCACAACCAATTTTTCCCTACCTGTTTGGAATTTTTTGTGAAGGTATCTGGCAACACTAACACTGAGAAATTCATTGAATACACTAGCAGCCCAGAACGCTAGCTGTTGAATGATCAAACTACCTTTAGTTACAAGAAAAACAGGTCCAAGTTATTTGTGTCCTCCTATTTGGCTCCCACGTAGGATGAGAGCCAGGCATGTTTTGTCTTAGTCCTGCTCATAGTAGATTGGAGTCCATACAATAGCCAAGGCTATGGTTTGAAATATATTGGTGAGGGCAGTGTGAACTTAGTTGCCTTATGTCGATCTAACTCAGAAGTGTAGACCAGGTCCTTACTCACATTGTAGTATGGCATAGTGTATCTTGTGACTTCATAGCAAAGCATCAGCATGGAAATAGCTCCTGAATCCTAACTTTCACCATAACAGTTGCTTGTTTTCCAGTTTGTGCAGATTGCTGTGCAGGCACACCCTAAGTTAAGTTATTTTGGAATAATGGCCGTTATTCTGAAAACTAAGCGGTTTTGCTGTGTAGATCCTTGCAATTTTGAAATAGCAGATGGCTTATTCTGGTTTCTGTAAGCCTCATTCTGTAAGGAATAGTCTATTCCAAAAACATCTATTTTGGAAGAGGGTCTGCATAGACAGGGAATAGCTGCTACTTTGATATAGGGAGCCTCCTGCCTTCCCAGGGTTTCCTGCTGGCTGCTCTGTCCACATTCAGCAAAACTGTCTCCTCTCTTTCTCCCCCCTTCCCTCCCCCCCTCACTTTCCCTGGAGTCCTTAAAGCTGCAGCCTCTGTAAACAGGGTTTGTGTCTTGCAGCAAGCCTGACAGCTCTGAGCCACCCTGCAGCTGCACCTGACCCAATTGTGCCTAGAAATGAGCCAGTCTGATGCTGCCATGCAGCCCTCCACTGTTCCCAGGGAGCAGTTTGACAGCTCCCAGGCACCTGCCAGGGGCTGCAAAAGACATGTGCCTTCCTGGCCCCAAGTGGAGATCCTGGATCTTATTGAGGTTTGGGGGGATGAGAACAACTTGGAGGATCTCTGCATCAGCTATAGGAACGTGGGTGTGTCTGGCCACATGGCCAACAGTCTGGTTACTAGAGGCCATGGCCATAGCCAATAACAGGTATGGATGAAGGTGAAAGCACACTGCCAGGCTTATGCCGGGCCATGGAGGACACTGCCCAACCTGTGGCAGAACCCCAAAGCTGCCCTTATTTTAAGGAGCTTGACCACATCCTGGGGGCTGGGCATTCCCTCCCCCATCCCCTGGTTATAGACTCTGGCCTTGAGATGCCTGTCATTGTCCTCATGGTGTGCGGGCGTGTGTGTGTGGAGACAAGCAGGAGTAGGATCTGGAGGAGTCCAGCGTCAGCACACAGCTGACCCAGGAGACCCAAAGCCACCTTGTGGACATGACCGAGGCTGGGGAAGGTACATCACTTTCCCTGCATACAGAGGGTGGAGGGGCTGGATGCTCCACACTAGGCCCTTTCTGGATGAGGATTGTGCAGCAGCTTGTGCATGTAGGAGCATGTGCTATGCTGTTCCTGGGCATATGGCCCCAAGAGGTTGCCACAAAGGACCCTATTGTCACTATTGGCCACAGAGTGGCTGGAGAGGCCTGCAATGCTCCTGACCCCGGGTGGGACACCCTCCTTCCACAAGCACCTCCGAGACAGGGGACATTCATACACATGCTCAGCAGTCCTGCACATGGGCATGCCCACAGTCTATGGGGCAGCATGCACTCCTGGACACGTGGGCCCACTGGCCATAGCACACATGGCCTTGCTCCAAACACAGAGTCTGTGACAGCTGAGAACTGTTGCTCTTAGCTTGCAGATAGGGGCTAGGCTTCAGGCCCTATCCCTTGGAATGACTGACTATGTCTCTCTCCTCCACAGCCGGATCAGCCGCAAGGGGGGAGGCAGTCACCACCTGGAACAGCCTCCTGGACCTAAGGCACTTGCAGGCACTACCTTCCTATGGATGAGTACCAGATGCAGAACCTGGCACCACTCCGAGCCCTGCCCTGCACTATCCATGGCTTAGGACCTGCACCTGTGTTGGGAGAGCTGGCAGGAGCTGATTGTGCAGGTCCGCTCCCTGTGCTGATGTCTGTTTCCTTGTGCAGAGCATAATGTCTCCCTGTGCTCCTGCTCCAGCTTCTCCCCATCTGCTTCTCCCTCAACATCCTCTTCACCACCACCCCCAGAGACAGAGGCCCCCTGCACTCATGACAGTGCGAGCTGCAGAGCCTGGTACTACTCCCAGCCCCAAACCATGAACTTCTCTTCCCCCTTCTAGCTCCTTCCTGCAAGGTTCTCAATACCCCCTTTTTCCCCTCTCCTCCTCTCTCCCAGGTTCTTTCCTCACTGTCTTTCTGGTTTCTTTGACCTCACAGTAAAAATACAGAGCATTAAGTTCTTCCGAAAGTCTTTTTTTATCAGCAGTGGGGAGGAAAGGAAGGATAAGTAGAGGGACAGCAATGAGGGGAGAAGCAGAAGCCCCCAGTGGGGCAACCTAGGAGATAGTTTCACTGGTTTCCCTAGGGAGAAGCTCTCCCTCAGGGCCTGCCACATGGCAACTGAGCGTGGCTGCTAATAGAGGTTGACCACATAGGTAGGGCCTGTCTCCCCCAACCCCCTTCACACACTGGCAGGAAGGCCTCCCCTTCCAGTCACTCACATGCAGAACACAGCACACTCCTCCTGCAGATGGGATGCTGTGCTCCCTGAGGCCCAGACAGGTGAGGAGGCATCTAAACCAGTGTTTCTCAACTTTATAATGTCCCCTTTTTTAAAAATATACACAAGTACCTACAGTTTTCAGACACTTTTTTCTATCATTGCAATGTATTTGTTTAATCAACTTAATTGTGAATGGGCAATGACATTTTTGGGTGTGTAAAGCACAAAAATAAAGTGCTGTAAAACTTAAAACAAAAATTGTTTTCTCAATTTCAGTTGTTGATGTACCACCTGACTTCTCTTGAGAACCCCACCAAGCTACCTCTACCACTGGTTGATAAACCACTGTTTTAAACCATGCCTTTAAGCAGCTGAAGGCACCCTCAACAACCATGCAGGCCATGCTCAGCTGGCTAGCTTCTAGGCCACATCCCCCACCTTCTTGACCCTCATGTTGTGGCTGGGGAAGAAATTCTGAAATGCAGCTTCTAGAACATACTCGAGTTCCGAAACACGTGGAAGGTGCTTTTCCTAACCACCTGACATGTCTGTGAACTGGCCCCAGTGGTCAGTTGCAGCCTTGCAGGACCACCAAAAAATATCCCTTGTGGTTAATGTACATTGATGCCTGGTGGTCTGGAGGCCTGGATAGGGACGTGTACCCTGTTGATGGTTCAATCGGGGAAGCCCAAGCACCAAATCCGGCAGTGAGGGCGTCCACATCTGCAAAGTGGATGACTGCGCAGCAGGATGCTGTTGATTGCCCTGACCACCTGCAGAAGGAGACAAACCAAGAATCACAGGGGTGCCAAGGTGCCTGTGAGTCCCCCCTCCTGCCCCTCACCAGAAGCAACCCCTTTCAATTATCCCAATATGTGGTAGGGATTTGTGAAGATAGGACTGAACAAACCCTCCCAGGGTGGGTGCTTGCACTACCCCACTCCACTCTTCCCTAGAAAAGCCCATTATATCCTTTCACCCACCTCCTGGGGCGATAGCCCAAGAATGCACTACTTGCATGATCAGGGCCCCGATGGTTTATCTCCCCATGCCAAACTGGTTCCCCATGGATCAGTAGCTATCTGGTGTGGAGGGCTTCCAGAGGGCGAGGGCAGGCCTCATGCATGTCCTGTTGCCTCAGGGCAGGGGCGAGCCATTTTCAGAGTTCCAGGAAGGTGTCCTGTCATTCAAAGTTCTGGAGCCATTGTTGGTCTCCCCAGCACTCTAGAACAATGTGGTCTCACCAGTCTACACTGGTGTCCAGAGCTAGATGTGGCAGGGGATGGCACCCAGACCATAGCAGGCAGCCTCCAGCTGCTGGCGCCATGCCCCCACCTACTTGAGGCTCTGCCACAAGGGCTGAGGGTTGGGTTCATGCAGAACCTGGGTGGCTACATGCAGAAACTGCTGCATGACTTGCAGCAAAAGCTGAAGACTACCCAGAGGCACTCCTGCTCCATAGCAGAGAGTGTTGTGGTGTCCTGACGCAGTGCAACCAGATCAAAAAGAGAAAATGCTTTGCTGTCCCTCAGGCTATGACTACACTGCACCTCTCTTGTGTAAAATCTTATGCAAATGAAGTGTGGATTAGCATATTGCCACACTTCATTTGCATAATTAATTAGGGGCTATTTTTGCACAAGAGGCTTTTGTTCAAAAAGTAGCTGTGTAGATGGCTCCTTTTTGCACAAAAACCTTCCTCATTTTTTTTTCAGGAAGAACTGCTTGTGTGCAAGAGGGGGGTTTTGTGGGAAAAGGAGCTGTCTACACAGCTCCTTTTTTTTTTTTTTTTTTGCAAAAGCATCTTGTGCAAAAACAGCCCTTAATTAATTATGCAAATGAAGTGTGGCAATATGCTAATCCACACTTCATTTGCATAGGCTTTTGCGCAAGAGAAGTGCAGTATAGATGTAGCCTCAGAGAGGTAGGCAAGCAAGCAAGGAAACCTGAGAAACAGCTATCCAGGGCTCCCTTTAAGCAGGAGCCTCAGATAGCCTCAAGCAGCAACCACACGAAGTAACTACTGACCTGATGCTCTGTCTGAACTGGTTCCAGGTGGCCTTAAATGCGATTCAGCATCCAATCAGTATGGATGCACTATTTCAAAATAGCTAAGTGCTATTTCGAAATGCATTCTGTGTGTAGATGTGCTATTTTGAAATAAGCTATTTCAGAAAATCTCTTCTGGACTAGTTTATTCCAAAATAACTGCGTGGTGTAGATGTAGCCTTAGAAAACACGAGTGTTAATATTCAGTGCCTGACTCAGCAGAGAGCCTGAAACAAGACAATTGCATCAGCAGTAGTTAGCTGAATGACTGTGGCTGCTCCCTGTGCTGTTCTATGGAGTCAAGCATCAGATGAAGGAGAGAAAGACAAAGTCCCCCTTGGAGCCAGGCAGTGGGAAGAGTTAGACATGTAGGCCGGTGAAATAGGCAGTCCAGAGAATAGAAGGCAGGCAAAGTTGGCGGAGCTGAACTGCATAAACCAGTCACAATTGCCCTACTTTCCTTGCATGGATTATCTGGGGGACTAGTTGGGAAGAGTTTCCGAGCTGGGCCAGCTGAACATCATGAAAACTGAACGGTGTAGACAGCACAGTAAAAAACAATGTCATACAGACCTTGACAAACTGCAGCGAGAGCTACTTGCCAGCCCTTCACCACGCATGCGCCAGATTGATGGTGAAGAGGGGGCAGGGAGCCACTGGCTGAAATCTACTTGCCCGTGGCGAGTAGAAACAGTGGTTTGTCAAGCCCTGGTCATGTATATGATAAAATTTGTCAGAGTATTTTGAATGCCTGTTTTCAAAGGAGCCATACATTTTTTTGAATGGAGTAGGAGCATGGAAGAATTACAGTAATTCCTCATTTAACACGTAGATACATTTTAGAAAATGATCGTGCTAAGTGAAAACATGTTATGCGGGGTCAATTTTCCCATGGAAAAGGTGGGGGTTGCGTTTCAAGCGCACGTGCGCTCACAGCTCCAGCCTGCACTTGTTAGCAGCTGGGACCGGGACATAAGTTTGGGGGATAAAGGGTTATAGCAGGGAGGGGAGGTCGCTGATTCCAAACAATGAAAAGTTTGTAAACTCCTATCTGAAATCTCACTTTTAAATGGTCAGTTTGAACAAAAAGTGAAAGTATATTAAGATAGTATTCCTATGTAGATAGCAATTAAAGCAAATCAGAAAGAAGGTAACTGAACACTGATTAAGGCAAGAAAACTGCTTAGTTTCTTCATTAATACAGTAATTCCTCATTTAACACTACAGGTATGTTTCAGAAAATGATCATGTTAAGTGAAAACATGTTATGCGGGGTCAATTCTCCCATTGAAAATAATGGAAAAGGTGGGGGTTGCATTTCAAGTGGTGGTATCTGTTGGGACCGGGACATAAGGTTGGGGGAGAAAGGGGACTGGGTTATAGCAGGGAGGAGAGGTGTTTGGCTCTGGGGAAGGAAAGGGGAGGAGACGGGAGGAGGATTGGGTTGGGAGTATGCCCCTGTGATGGGTCTCCTGGGACCCGCACTGCGTCCGGCCAGAGGGGTCACCGGGGAATGGCACGGCAAGTGGCAAACCTCTGCCACTTTGCAGGAAGGCAGGGGAAGCCTCGAGCAGCTGCCAGCCAGCGGCTGGCCCTAGGAGAAATTGTGTTATTGCAGGAACAGGGTCGTGTTGTTTGAAAAATGTTCCCTGTAACTTTTCTGTAAATCTCATGTCCACGATCAGCACTTCGGATGGTTTAAATACCTATTAGGGATTTCCTTCAGGATTGTTCAGCTTGCACAAGTTTTACTCATCAGACAGGCAGTAAGTGAGAGAACAAGTTGTTATCCTCCAAAGAAGCTTTATTAATTGCTGTGCTTTCAGATCAGGATCCCACTGTATGGAAGAAAGTAGTTGGATTTTTCCATTAAATCTCAAATCTTCTCACTGTTCTCTCCTTTTTTAATATTTGACAAAGTATTCATTATTCTGATACATACATGCAGAATGTCTTCATTTTATGAAAAGGATTATAGACAAACTCCTCAACAGGAAACTTTGGTGCAAAAAGCCTCCTGAGTTCCAAGCAATCCAGAGCCTATGGTCAATATTGGCATACAGTTGACCCATAGGTTCAGGTAGGACACTTAGCCCTGGTCTACATTAGAGTTTTGAAACTCCCCTTATTTCAAAATAATAAGTAAGCACATCCATACAACCAAGCCCATTATTTTGAAATAACTCCTTCTTTCCACGAGGAATAATGCTTATTTCGAAATAATTTTGAAATAGCAATGGAGTGTCCACACTATTGCTGCTATTTTGAAATAACTACTCCCCAGAGTCATTCAAAGTAATTATTCCCCATTACTTACTGGAGCTCTAAGTTAAGGTAGCACTTCCACACTAAGGGAGC